TGTTAGTTATTTGAGCAGTCCATGGGACTTTCAGCATTCTTCGCCAGCACCACAACTCAAAAGCATCAACTCTTCTTTGGTCTTCCTTATTCATTGTCCAGCTCTCACATGCATACGAGGTGAATGGAAATAGAACCTTTTGGTTCTATCTTTTAGTTGTCTTGATTTCCCTACCATATAGAAGTTTTGTAACTACACAGTTTTTTCCCTCTTTTTGGTTGTAGTTGTCTTCATTTGTCAAATGATGTCTCTGATTCCCTGTTTACAATCTTGTAGGCTTATTTACTTTGGATACTTCCATAGCTGAGTTGGTTTCTGGGTTATGTATCATATGTGTTAATGGTCAGTTGTTTGTTGTTGTTGGTTCTCTGTCCAAAGGACTCCCTTTAGCATCTCTTGTAAGGCTGGTCTGGTTTTAACAAATTCCTTTAATTTCTGTTTATCTGGAAATGTCCTAATTTTACTGTTATATTTGAGGGACAATTTTGTTGTGTACATAATTCTTGGTTGAAAATTTTTCTCTTTCAGGGTTTTAAATATACCATCCCATTGTCTTATCACCTGCATGGTTTCTGCTGAGAAATCTAAGCTTAGTCTTATTGGTTGCCCCTTGTAGGTAACTTTTCGTTTTTCCTATGTTGCTTTCACGATTCTTTGTCTTTGGTTTTGGTGAGTTTGATGATGATATGTCTTGGTGATTTTCTTTTGCTTCTATCCTGTTTGGGGTTTGTTGGACTTCCTGAATGGTTATATTCTCATCTTTCATCATACCAGGAAAATTCTCTTCTGACAAATCTCTGACAATTTTCTCTGTGGTTTTATTTGTCTCTTCCTGTTCTGGAATTCCAATGACACATAGGTTATTCCTTTTGTTGGTATCCCACATGATCCATACGCTTTCTTCATTTTGTTTCGATCTTTTTTCTGATTTATCATTTTCCAAAGAAGTTTTCAGGTATTTGCCTTCAGTCTCGCTAATTCTGTCTTCCATCAATTCTATCTACTCCTTTGCCTGTTCAGTGTCTTATCTATTTCTGAAAATTTAGTGTTAATCTTCTGGATTTCTATGTGTAGATTTTGTATCATTTCTAATTTTTCATTTATTTTGTCATTTTTTTTCTTGTATTGTCTTTTGAAATTGTTCTAGTGTTATCTCCATGTTTTCCTTGATATGCCTCTCAATTTGTTTAAGATACCTAAATATGTTGTTGTTGTTGTTATGTGCCATCGAGTCGGATCTGACTCATAGCGACCACTCCTTGGGTATCCGAGACAGTATCACTACGAAAGTGGATTTCCCCATCTTCCTTCCGAGGAGTGGCTGGTGGGTTTGAACCACCAGCCTTATAATTCTTTCGAATTCCTTATCAGGGAGTTCCAATACTGTGTCTTTCTCAGGGATGTGTTTTGGGTCTGTGTCCTAGTCCCTAGTTTCTTCTACTTTGCTTGCTTCTTTGGGTGGACTCTGTTGCTCTGTTGCCTCCGAGGCATTGTGATGTTTTTGTGTTTATATTTAATTGGTGATTGTACATTGGAGTGACTTGCCCACAATTTTTGTTTTCTTTGTTTTGTTTGTATGTTATCAACATAAACAGGGTACTGTGCTGTGCTCCTCTATTCGCTAGTTGACAGCACTTATACACTTACCACCTGTCTCCTTTCCTGTTGTCAGCCTCTCATATGTCCCTGCTGTCCTTGGCAAACAAAACCTATTAGGTCCCTGGAATCTAAATGAGAATGTTGTCACTTTAAAATCAAAATGGGAGGCTGGGCAAGATGGCGGACTAGGCAGAAGGATTGCACAGACCCTCTTCAACAAAGAAAAGGGAAACCAATTAACACAGACACAGAAGATAATCTTGGACCCTT